CCTTGTAGTGCAGATGGTGCTGCTGCAGGCCGCTCGGTCCAGGCTGGAAGCTGGGAGGGGATGGCGGAGGCCACACACAGGCACAGCTGCCTTGAGCTCATCCATCCTGGCTAAAGTGGATTTGCAGTGTGGGAGAGGGTCAGGCTGCACCCAGTGTCCTTTACCTGAGGTTTTCTCTTCTTTTCGGGGGGGGGGGGGGGGCGGGGTGGTTCGAGACAGGGTTTCTCTGTGTAGTTTTGGTGCCTGTCCTGGATCTCGCTCTGTAGACCAGGCTGGCCTCGAACTCACAGAGATCCTCCTGCCTCTGCCTCCTGAGTGCTGAAGTTTTCTTTATAGCGTAGTAGCTTAAACTGTTCCTTTTCAGTTATGGAAAGGTTCAAATAGATGCAGAAGTAAGGTAGCCTGATGAATTCTGACGTCGCCAACACCTGGTGTTCTGATTGCATCACAACGCCCCAGGCTTTCTGTCCTGGGCCACTATAAAACAAATCTTAATGTCACTGGGATTATGGAAGAATACTTGACAAGGATGTACTGGGGTTGGAATTTCCTAGGCTTAAACTCACGTTTAAAACCTTGGCACAAACTCATTAACATATTGCCAGATAACAAAGCAGTGGGCCACTGGCAGGGGGGTGCACTTTGGCCTCAGCCCCAACCCAGACTGCCAGGGCACTCTGGTTTTGAGTGGCCCTGCACCTCTGTATCTAAGCCTGCGTTCCCACAGGTGTTTGGGCAGCACAGAAGTGCCCAGGCGCTGGAGCTGGCACACATGCTGTACTATCGCAGCACATCCAACAACTCAGAACTGCTCAGTGCCCTGGCACTGCGCGCACAGGAGGAACACATCAAGGAGGCCCTACTGGCTCACAGCTTCCTAGGCCGCCGGCCAGGGGGCGCCCAAGGCCCACCTGAAGGTAAACCTCCCTGTCGCCTAGGTCCTCCCTGATGGCCCCATGTCAGTGCTGCTGTCCCCCCCCCCCATGTCAGTGCTGCTGTCCCATGTCAGTGCTGCTGTCCCATGTCAGTGCTGCTGTCCCCATGTCAGTGCTGCTGTCCCATGTCAATGCTGCTGTCCCATGTCAATGCTGCTGTCCCATGTCAGTGCTGCTGTCCCCATGTCAATGCTGCTGTCCCATGTCAGTGCTGCTGTCCCATGTCAATGCTGCTGTCCCCCCAATGTCAGTGCTGCTGTCCCATGTCAGTGCTGCTGTCCCATGTCAATGCTGCTGTCCCATGTCAATGCTGCTGTCCCATGTCAGTGCTGCTGTCCCCATGTCAATGCTGCTGTCCCCATGTCAGTGCTGCTGTCCCCATGCCGATGCTGCTGTCCCATGTCGATGCTGCTGTCCCATGTCAGTGCTGCTGTCCCCATGTCAGTGCTGCTGTCCCCATGTCAGTGCTGCTGTCCCATGTCAGTGCTGCTGTCCCCATGTCAGTGCTGCTGTCCCATGTCAGTGCTGCTGTCCCATGTCAGTGCTGCTGTCCCATGTCAATGCTGCTGTCCCATGTCAGTGCTGCTGTCCCATGTCAGTGCTGCTGTCCCCATGTCAATGCTGCTGTCCCATGTCAATGCTGCTGTCCCATGTCAATGCTGCTGTCCCCCCAATGTCAATGCTGCTGTCCCATGTCAATGCTGCTGTCCCCATGTCAATGCTGCTGTCCCATGTCAGTGCTGCTGTCCCATGTCAGTGCTGCTGTCCCATGTCAGTGCTGCTGTCCCATGTCAGTGCTGCTGTCCCCATGTCAATGCTGCTGTCCCCATGTCAGTGCTGCTGTCCCATGTCAATGCTGCTGTCCCCCCCATGTCAATGCTGCTGTCCCCATGCCGATGCTGCTGTCCCCATGCCGATGCTGCTGTCCCATGTCGATGCTGCTGTCCCATGTCGATGCTGCTGTCCCCATGCCGATGCTGCTGTCCCATGCCGATGCTGCTGTCCCCATGTCAATGCTGCTGTCCCCATGTCAATGCTGCTGTCCCATGCCAGTGCTGCTGTCCCATGCCAGTGCTGCTGTCCCATGTCAGTGCTGCTGTCCCCATGTCAATGCTGCTGTCCCCATGTCAATGCTGCTGTCCCCATGCCGATGCTGCTGTCCCCATGTCGATGCTGCTGTCCCATGTCGATGCTGCTGTCCCATGTCAATGCTGCTGTCCCCATGTCGATGCTGCTGTCCCCATGTCGATGCTGCTGTCCCATGCCGATGCTGCTGTCCCCATGCCGATGCTGCTGTCCCCCAGGCCCTCCCTGCTGTCCCCAGGTCCTCCCTGCTGTCCCCATGTCAATGCTGCTGTCCCCATGTCAATGCTGCTGTCCCCAGGTCCTCCCTGCTGTCCCCAGGTCCTCCCTGCTGTCCCCAGGTCCTCCCTGCTGTCCCCAGGTTCTCCCTGCTGTCCCCCAGATCCTCCCTGATGTCCCCAGGTCCTCCCTGATGTCCCCAGGTTCTCCCTGCTGTCCCCATGTCAATGCTGCTGTCCCCAGGTCCTCCCTGCTGTCCCCAGGTCCTCCCTGCTGTCCCCAGGTCCTCCCTGCTGTCCCCCAGGTCCTCCCTGCTGTCCCCATGTCAATGCTGCTGTCCCCAGGTCCTCCCTGCTGTCCCCAGGTCCTCCCTGCTGTCCCCAGGTCCTCCCTGCTGTCCCCAGGTCCTCCCTGCTGTCCCCAGGTCCTCCCTGCTGTTTCCCAGGTCCTCCCTGCTGTCCCCAGGTCCTCCCTGCTGTCCCCCAGGTTCTCCCTGCTGTCCCCATGTCAATGCTGCTGTCCCCAGGTCCTCCCTGCTGTCCCCCAGGTCCTCCCTGCTGTCCCCAGGCCCTCCCTGCTGTCCCCCAGGTCCTCCCTGCTGTCCCCCAGGTCCTCCCTGCTGTCCCTCAGGTCCTCCCTGCTGTCCCCCAGGCCCTCCCTGCTGTCCCCCAGGTCCTCCCTGCTGTCCCCAGATTCTCCCTGCTGTCTCCCAGGTCCTCCCTGCTGTCCCCAGGTCCTCCCTGCTGTCCCCCAGGTCCTCCCTGCTGTCCCCCAGGCCCTCCCTGCTGTCTCCCAGGTCCTCCCTGCTGTTCCCCAGGTCCTCCCTGCTATCCCCAGGCCCTCCCTGCTGTCCCCAGGCCCTCCCTGCTGTCTTCCAGTTCCTCCCTGCTGTCCCCCAGGTCCTCCCTGCTGTCTCCCAGGTCCTCCCTGCTGTTCCCAGGTCCTCCCTGCTATCCCCAGGTCCTCCCTGCTGTTTCCCAGGTCCTCCCTGCTGTTCCCCAGGTCCTCCCTGCTGTCCCCAGGCCCTCCCTGCTGTCCCCAGGCCCTCCCTGCTGTCTTCCAGTTCCTCCCTGCTGTCCCCAGGCCAACTCTGCTGCTTGTTCCCCATGTCAACCCTGCTTTCCCTGGGCCTTCCATGTTGTCCTTTAGGCCCAGGTCTCCTCTAACTTCAGCTTGAACATAATGTCTCCCCACAGAGACCTCCAAGTGGCTACAGTCTGAAGTGGAGAGCTGGCTTCTAGCCCAGTCTGGCTGTGATGTGGCCTTCAATGGACCTCGGGCCCTGGCCCACCTGCAAGCCCTTACTCCCAGCTTTGGGTTGTTCCCACCACCTGAGTTGCCAGAACTTAACCCACTGGTCCTAGGTACTCCAGGAGCCCTGCAGGCTGCTGCACTGGGTGGTAGCTACCCCTCACCCTGACCACTTTCGACCAGGCCCAGCACTGGCAGGGTGCCAAGCCCTGCCTCCTCCACAGCAAGGTGTCAATCGTGGCGACTGTATCTCCTACCTGGACTCTTGGTTGTTGACAGGCTATTATTTCTGCTAGACCATTAATTCTGCAATGCTATAGACTTAAGAGTGGCCAATCAGGGCCGCTGGCAGTTGCTAAGCAGCCTCCTGAGGCCAGCCAATCGAAGCCGTGTATTTCAGCTTGTATTTTACTTCTCAGCCCTGCCCCTGACAAGAACCTCACCATGGCCGGTGGAGGGGGCGGGGCTTGGGGAGGTTTAACACAGCTGCCGGGAGACCCGCCAGGCTGTGAAAGCTGGGCCTGGAGGCCACGCTTCATCATCTGTTCAGCCTGCACAGGAACTGCCTGCCGCATGCACCTGGGCGGGGCCCACTGCAGCCTGCAAGCCGTTTGGTTCTGGCCCACTTAGGGTAACTGGGCACTGCAAGCAGGGGCAGCAGCCAGTCAGAAATCCTGGAGGAATTGCCGGGAATCCATGTGAGACCAGCCATCTGTTTTGCAGCTGATCTGCTCTGGTTGAAGGCACTGGGAACTTCCTGCCCCAAAGAAGACGGTGGGCCTGCAGCATTCCACCCCAAGATCACTCCAGCTCAGGTCCCAGCAGGCTCCCAGGCCTCTCTGCCTTGCTGCAGAAACCACCTTGGCTTGTGCAGTATTTATCACTTGACCTTCCTCCAAAGGAATAAATAGTGTTTAATAAATCTGGTTAGTGTGGCTGCAGGTGAAGGGGTTTGGTCAGAATCCTGGAAAGGGTGTGGCTGGGTCCCAGACGGGAATCTTAGAAGCACTGATGCCTGCGGAAAGCTTTGATTGCAAGAGTCTGGGTCTCAGACAAGAAGACCGGGCAGGAGGCAGATTGTTCAGCACACGGTGGCACACAGCCGGTAGTAGGTGCCTGTGAAATCCAGCTGGTGCCCGCTGCCTGAGTAGAGGGCGAATTATATTGGCTGTAGCGGTGGCCTTTGTTGGTGTGGGAAGAGTTAGGCTCTAGAAAGGAGGGGAGAACAGTTTGCAATAGGAAACAGCTCTTTCAGTGGTTGAGTCAGAGAGAAGGTATGGAAGAGATCAGGCAAGGCAGCTCGGTCCCTGAGAGCAGGGAGAGGAGACCGAGACTGAGTTCTAATGAGGTCTTCAGGGAGGAATGGGATGCAGCCTGATCTTACTTAGCGAAAATCCCTCGGGCAGCTGGCTCCAGCCAGGGTCCCAGGGCGGAGAGCCTGGGAGTTGAGCTCTGGATGAGACTGGAGGCGATGCGTGTTGTTAAGGAAGGAGGGAGGGAGCCAAGTTAGGCTCGTGGTTAAACGGATTTATTTTCTAGGGGACACAGCATTCATTCACGTTTCCGCAGGTGGATGTAGATGATGCCACTGACCAGGGCGAGTGGGAAAGCCACCCAGGCCAGGGCGAAGCAGTAACCGAAGCTACCGCCAGGTGGGTGCTTCTTCAGGATCTCCTGAGCATGGAGGGCGTAGATCAGTGCCCCAGAGAACACGGCTGCACCTGCGGAACCGGAACCGCAGTGTGAGGCTGGGTGTGCAGGGAGGCTGCACTGCCCCGGGTCCTCAGCAGTACCCCAACCACCACAGGCACCCAACTGCTGCAGAGTGGCTTTGGGCACCTTGTTTCACTTCTGGTCCCCAACTGATCATCTGTGAAATAGGCCATGGCAGCTATCCATCCATGGGATTTTTTAGTGTTTTTTTATGAGCCAAATATGCAAACATGAGTAAGTAACATGGCGCGGGATGTTTCTCTGGGAACCCAGGAAGGATGTTTCCAAAACCACCATGATTAACTCAGCCCTTTGCACCTAGAGCCAAAAAAAAAAAAAAAACAAAAAAAAAAAACAGAGCTGTGTGTTCCCATCTCATCGACCTCTTTGTCCTCCAAACCCTTTAAGCCTCAAATTATTTGACCTTAAAAAAAAAGTGGAACATGACTTGATGGCCCACACCTACACTCTCAGCGACTCAGGAGGTAGAGGCAAGAGAATAGGTAGCTCAAGGCTAGCCAGGGCCATTTAGTGAGGCCCTTTTTCCAAATAAAAAATAAGAAGAGGGTGGGGGAAGCACATGCCTAGAATCCACCAGTGTGGCGCTGGGATCATGCCTCAGAGATAGCCTGTCTAGCATGGCATAGCCTGTGCATATCCCCAGTACCGAGCGAAGAGAAAAAGTAAACTCCCTGAACAGGTAGGGGTACAAGAAACAGCAGTTGGCTGATATGATTCAGAATATTCCTTTTGTGGGATCTCTTAGCTGCCTCCATTCCTGGAACCCAAATCATTTACGAAAACCTACTTCTCAGGCACTGGCTCAGTAAGGTCCCAAGACCACCACAGAATCTCTGAGAACTCCCAAGTCCACAGAGGCTGTCCTTGGGGGAAGGCCTATCGTGGTGTACTCCTGTTTCCCAATCTTGGGGAAGTGCTTACTGGTGCAAAGCTGGCAGAGGCCGGTGGCGTAGAAAAGCCCCCCTCTTCGCATGGTGTAGAGCTGGAACATGAAGAGGATGAAGGACAGGCAGCAGAGGATGAGAGAGAGCACCATGAGTACCTGCACTGCCTTCAGCCAGCCTGTAGGGGGAGACACAGGGGAGGTCACAGCCTGCCCGACCCGTCCCCTCGGCCCCACTTGCTGATCTCTGCCCACTCCAGGTTCAGCCAGGCAAGCTTCATGGGTGTATGTGTTAAAGGATCACATACCATGCAAACACCTTCCTGATGAGTTCCATCCCCACCCTCACTTGCTGTCACTTAGAATGTTGGAAGGAGGCAACTCCATCTCTTTAGAACTCTGGCCCTTCCTTACTCTGCCCAGCTTCAATGAATGGCTTCCATCCATATTCACAACACTAGCTCCATTTCCTTACAACTTTGGAAAGCCTTATCTTCTCAGAATTTAGGGAGCTTTCTCCCCATTCCTTAAGCCTGTAGCATGTGGCCACCACCCTTTCCGGATCCATCAGAACAGAGGCAGTGGCCTTCCCATTTGGATAGGCTGCCTATGCCAGCCCCAGATGCTCACAGCCTAGGCTTGGTTCCCAACCCTGGTCCTGGCCTCTTTGGGGCCTTCTGTGCCCTCAGCGAGACACTCACCATTCTCACTGACATTACTGCAGGCCCATGTTTGGGTGGTGGTGTTCCAAGTGCAGTCATACCACAGGTTCAGGGACTCCTTCTCTGGGAGAGTCCACCAGGACTGGGAAGGATAGAGACCAGCGAGGGTGAGGAGGGCAGGACAGAGTCAGGGAGAGTGGGGATGGAGGCACCTAGAAGGTGTGGACCGATGGGCCAAGAGGGTGGGCAGGGCTGGGGAAAGGACTGGCCCAGAAGTAGAAGTAGGGGGCGCAGGCAGGGAGGCGCAGGCTTAAGAGCGTGGCTGTAGCCGGGGTTCACCGTGAGCTGGAAGCTTACCTTGTCCAAAGTGGCCACAAAAAGCAGGATGAGAATGAGGATGTGAAGGGCAGAGACCACTAACAGGAGGAGTGACATGGCCACCAGATGCCTGGCTCAGAGCAGGGGGACAGACCTGCAGAGGGCGGCAAGAGGGCGGGGTCTGGCTCCAGGTCTGCGGGAGGAGGGCTAGGGAAGGCCCTGGGTGTGAGGGAGAAGGGGAGTGGAAGGGTGAGCCCAGGGCTCCTGTGCTCTCGAGCGGCCTAGAGAATGTCCTACTGGACTTTGGGAGACAGATGAACAGGACTGACAATATATTGGCGCATCTGCAGTGCCTTGTCCCTGGGCTATGTGGGTCACCCTATGAAAGTTTACATTGGTACCCCTTCTAATCCATCAGGAGGAGCAGGAGCTGCCCCCAGGACAGGCATCCTTGACTCACTCACTCTCTCCTCATGGGGTGAGTCATGGGTGACTCATCCCCCTCCCTCCAGCACCAGAGAGACTCCAGGCCCTGGCTGGGTGTCTCCGGTCCTCACCCCACCCTACTGCAGACCTAAGGCTCTGGACACTTGGGGAAAAGAATTAGAAGGGGAGGGGGGGTCTGAGTGGCGAGACCACCTCCTACCACCCTTCAGTGTCCAGAGAACTCAGCCCTGGGAGCCCTCCTGCACCCCGTAATCTCAGGAGAGAGTGGAAAGACCCCATGGAGAGGCTACAGGACTTTTCCCATGGTGCTCTGTTGGGACCACAAGTACTGTAGACGGCCCTGCTCCCCCCCCCCCCCATCCCCTCCACAAAGGCCGAGAGGTCACTTCTTCAATTCCCAGTGTCCTCCGGAGCTGCGTGCAGGGTTTCTTCCTGCTGAGGGTGCCCCTCCCACGGTGCCATGCTGCCTAGTAAATAAGGTCCTGTCTGAATAACGGATTGAAAACTTACCGAGAGTCGCTGAAGAAGTCAGAGTTGGAGTCTGTCCTCGTTTGGGCCTCTTGCCCCGCCCTTCTGCTCCCTCCTTCCACTCTGAGGCCCCCGCCTCCCTCAGCCTCCCTCACGCCTCCCTCCACCCCTTACTACTCACCCTTCTTCCTCTCCTTCCCCCCTCTCTCCTTTCTCTCCCTCTTCTGGTGGTTTTTGCTTCTCTTAACTCTCAATATATACCAACCCTTTTATATCCACTTTGGCCTCGCCCAGCTGAGCTCTGCAGCCAGGGGAGGGCACAAGAACTTGGTTCCTTATTTCTCTGCCCACCCAGTCATACAGTGGGCATGTTCTGGGACCTCCTTTTAGGGCTCAGATGAGAAGTCTTTGGGGCCCTGGGGTGGGGCACCTTACCTCCTTGGACCAGATGCCTTCTCTCTTTGATGGAGTTTGGGGCAGAGTGTATGACACATGAGTCTGCAGAAGGCCAGACTCCTGTGACATAGATCAAACTTTGGGCTAACTCTGAGCTGGGACAAAAAGTATGAATCTATGGAAAGGAGCAGGATGTATCCTTTTTCTAGTGCCACCATTTTCTGGTTGTGTGACTTTGGGTAGATTATTTCACTTCTCTGGGCCTCAGTTTGCAAATCTGTATAGTGGGTACAATATACAGTCAGTAAAGAAAATAGAGTGATGGAAATAATGACTAGGTGGGTGGATGGGTGGGGGCTAAGTAAAACAAGATAATCCTGAAAGGCCTCTTGGAGGATGTGATTCTGAGATTCAAGGAAAGGAGTCATTTGGACACTACAGAGAAAAGAAAATTGTTCAGGCCTGGAGAACAAGCTCCTGTTGTGTGGGAAGCAGACAGAAGGGCCAGTGTGGCTGGAGCCCAGGGAGCCCAGGGTGTGGCGAGCAGGGACATCAGAGGATTTCCTTGAACATTCATGGAGGAACCTGGCTTTTACTGTAAGTGTTGTGGGAGGCCATTAGAATTCTCACAGCACTGTGCCCCCTGGGCTGTAATGTGAACTGCCCTTATTTATTCTCAGGACACTGGCTTAGGTGGTGTGGATGATGACTGAGTATATCTGCATTCCTCGGCAGGGGACCAAGTCCTGGTTCTGATGAAGTAAGGGCTGGGGACCTGGATGATGGATGTGTGGGCATCTGACGGGGCCAGAGCTGGGTGTGATGATCTATAAGCCTCGAGGTGAGAGCTGGCTAGGCTGGTGATTGAGAGACCAGGAACTGGACACCATACAGTAGACTCTGGAGCCACTCACTGGCTCCGTGATGCTGGGCAAGTTACTAATGACCTCTATGGTTTTTTCTTCATCTGTAAAGGAGGGCTAGTGTAGTGGGTGACAAGTCTTTTGTGCACCAACCCAGCAATCCAAACTAGACCAAATTAGGAAAAGCCTGTTTTAATGGGAAAAGCGTTCCCAGGTGAGAGGAGACAGGGATGAGAGGCCGGAAGAACCACGTGTCTGTTTTCTGGGATGCAGCTCTATGTACCCTGTGGGAGTGGTCTTCAGCCTCTCTGGGGGAGGAGCTGTGTTTGGCGGGTTTAGGGAAAGAGATGGGGGGAGGAGAGTTTGAGGTGGATCTTCCACCAGAACATTTCAGACACTTTGGGTGTAGGGATGCCAGGGTGCCAGGGGTTGAGGTGTGCAGCTTACAGCAGGCATTGGGGCTCCTAGTGGAGTCCGGGGCGCTCTGGCTCAGAGGCTCTAGTAATTGGAGAAAGGGCAAATACTTGGGCCCACTGAGTCCCAAAGCTAAAGTTTGGAATCCTAAATGAGGGTGGCGGGGTTGGGGGGGTGGTCGTGAGGGGGGGAGCACAGACTTGGGGAAGTCTAACTCTGAGCCTCGACGAAGTAGAGTGGGTTACTGAGGGTAAAACTGAGGGCCTGGGGTGCAGTCTTGTACTCCTCTGGGACTGCAGCGACAGGAGGCTGCATCCCAGGACTGCGAGGAGTGTTGGAGCCAGGAGCAAGGAAGATGCTAACTGGCAGAAGAGGCCTGGAACAGATTTAACACCCCTTCAAAGAGCTGGAACAGTGCGGTACTAGGGTACCTGGAGGAGGCGTTTAGGGAATCCCCAGACCCGTAGAAGTTTAAGTATCTGGAAACCAAGGGTGGTGGCGGGATCTCCCCCGCCCAGGCCCCGGAGGAGCTCTGCATAGCAGCCACTTCCTCCCACAGGAAACCGCAGGCGTCAGCCACACCCAGCCTCCAGGCAGCGCCCCGCCGCTCTCGCAAAAGAACCGCACGGGGTGAAGCGCTTGGCAGGATGAAAGGACTGCCGGAGGCTCCGCCCACTCCCACTTCCGCCTCGGCCCTACGTGCCCACAAACCGTTGGTCGCGCATGCGTAGTGAGCCTGTGTAGGAAGTGAGATAGTGGTGAGCGTTCCTCCAAACTATAAATTACCCAAATAACCAGTCCAAGGCACGCATTTCTTGGGCCGGTACTGCAGGACCCTGCCTAGCCCCAAAGTCTAGTCTTCTAAATGTTTCTCTCCAGGCGCCTTCAGTTTCTGCTTCCCGGATACACGCTGCCCAGAGTCCGAGCTCCACGAATCCCACTTTGACCTCCCCAGAACCTGCCCCTCCAAGACGTCCGAGTCACCCCCACCGCCTCACTGCGCTCCCTTTAAACAATAAGGCCCGCCCCAAAGCCTAGAGCCCCGCCTTCGCACTAAAGTCCCCGCCCCCTAGAGGCCAGGGCGCCTGCTCCATAGTTCCGCTCTCCACCGGGCCCAGACCCCTCCCGAAGTCCCGCCCCTTACGGCATCCAAGCCCCTCCTCTTGGCCATTTACGACCTCCGGTTCCTCCGCTCAGCACCGCAGTTCCTCCCCTTCCCGTAGCCCCGCCCTTTATCCCTGGCTCCTCCTCCCCCCTCTCTCCTAGCTTCAGCTCCTTCTAGGAGCTGACTCCTAGGGCAGAGATTCTCCACCTTCCTAATGCTATATGACCCTGTGATACAGTCCCTCAGGTTGCGGTGACTCCTAGGGCAGAGATTCTCCACCTTCCTAATGCTATGACCCTGTGATACAGTCCCTCAGGTTGCGGCGACTCCTAGGGCAGAGATTCTCCACCTTTCTAATGCTATATGACCCTGTGATACAGTCCCTCAGGTTGCGGCGACCCCAACCATGTATTTTCGTTGCTACTACATAACTGTAATTTTACAACTATTATGAATCGTAATGTAAATATCTGCTATTGTGACGACCCTGTGAAAGGGTCGTCAGCTCATGGGTCTGGATCCACGTGTTGAGAACCGCTGTTTTCGGGTCTTAGCGCCGCTCCTGCGGGTGCCTCTGGCCTCGCCTCTCGGCGGGCATCCCCTCAGTCCACTGAGACTTCCGTCAGTCTGTCCTGCCCTCCCCTGCCGCTGTCCTCAGGCTTCATTGGCCCCTTGTCTCCCCAGTAACCAGACCACAACAGTGAGGTGGAGCAGCTAGGACAGGTCAGGCACTCAAGCAGGTGGTAGAGCCGAGACGTCGCCCCCGCCCCCAGCGGGCCGGGGCTCGGAGGTGCGGAGAGGCCGCCCCGGGACCCAAACCGTGTGTGTTTGCGGTGAGCGATGTCCCGGTGTAGCCCCTGAAGAGTCGAGGCCCAGAGAGGCCGCAGTGCCTGACTGATCGCTCTGTGCTCTGACTTGCATGCTCTGGTGTCCCCTGCAGGAACGCCGCCGCCACTGTGGCCAGGATGCGTTTGGGCCTGTCAGCCAGGAGCATATCCGAAGAAGGAAGCGATGTCTTCCTGGAGGGACCGGGTAATTCATGATTCCACCTCTCCTCCGAAGTTCCTTTTCTGTTCTCAGCTTCTCCCAGTTCCAGAGCCAGGGCTGGGGAGGCCTCTCAGGAGCTTCCTTTCCTGGAAGAGGGCTCCTGACATGTGGAGGGGTCAAGCCAGGCAGTGGGGTGGCCAGAAAGACCTTAGACTTCATGAAAGGTTTAAGTGGGGCCCAGGACATCCAGACATAGTCAGGGGAGGACCATTGAGATGGTTCAGCGAATAAAGGCCCTTGGCATCAAGCCCGACAGCCTGAGGAATCCACATGGTGGGTTCCTCGACTCCCTCTGGCCCCTACTTTCACCACGTACATGTAATTTAAATCAGAAAAAGAAAAAGCACCAGCGTGGTGGCACACACCTTTCATTCCAGGGCTGGGGAGGCAGTTTGAGTTTCAGGTCAACTAGGGCTGCACAGTAAAACCCTGTCTGGAAAAAAAAAAAAGCACCCGGAGAACAGTATATGCAGGTATATGGCTAGGGTAGGAGCAGAGGGTTTCTCAGTCTTGTGTACACTGGTTTGGGTCAGTTCTCAACTGAGGGGCTGGAAAGGTGGGAAGCTGGTGGGAAAGACTGAAGAGATGGGTAAGGCAGGCTCCTTGGGGCTTGGATGCCAGGCTGAGGTATGTAAGAAGAAGGAAGGGTCCATTCTGGGTGTAGGAAGTCCTTGGGGACTTTGTAGGGAGGTGAGCGGGAGATGGGATGATGAGATGAAGCATGAGCCCAGAGGACAGTTGGAGAGAGGGAGGGGCACAAAGGAGAGATGCCACCCACTGAGGGCTAAGAGAAAGCCACTTTCTCTAGTCCCAGGTGCCAGAGACCAGAAGGCCTCTCAGGAGCATCCTCAAGCCAGGATGGGTTAGGAAAATAACAGAGGTCAGTTTGGCTGGGAGACACAGGGACTGAGATGGAGTCCCAAAGGATGTCAGGGCTGGGACTGCGGTACAGTTGCAGTTTGCAAGACCCTGAAGGGACCAGAATTCCTAGGTTCTGGGGATGACTGGCAGTCCTGATCCCCTCTGAGTCCTTTGCCCGGTCTTACCCGCAGTGGATTGGGAGCTCAACCGCCTGCAAAGACAATGCAAAGTGATGGAGAGAGAACGGCGGGTGTACAGAAAGGAGGTTAATCAGCGCATCAGCAAGCAACTGTGAGCTGGGTCGAAGAACGGAGAAAGGAGGGAAGACCCGGAGGGAAGCGCAGGGGCGGGGGAGGAGCGGGGGCAGGGGAGTGGTGGTCAAAGGGACAGGATAGAGGGTAGGGACAGGAGGAGGTACAGGGTCCCAGAGTTGCAGAATCTCCGGAGAGTCAGGTGCTGGAGAAGGGAAAAGGTAGGGGAGGAGCAGGGGGCGGAATGAGAGGAGGGAAGGGGTTGGGAGAAGCACGGGGTCAGGAGGAGGGTTGGGGCTCTCAGTGAGCGGGAGCAGGCAGGAGCGGGCAGGAGCTGGTTTTTGAGCGCTGCTGGCTTGCTGGTGTGGACCCTCCTCCCTGCTCCTCCCGACAGCGAGGAGATTCGGCAGCTGGAGGCGTTGCGAGCCAAGCTCCAGATGCAGATCAGCGTGGCACAGAGCCAGGTCAAGCGACCGAGAGACACCAAGCGTTTGGAGGACATGGAACGCCTACTCAAGTGCAGGGCCCAGGTGCAGGTCGAAGCCGAGGCGTTGCAGGAGCAGAACCGGGCACTGGACAAGCAGGTGGGTTCTCCTAGTCGGCTGTCATCCCATCAGACCCTGTCGTAAGGGTTCTAAGCCGCAGCGACCTTACCTGAAAGATGGAGCCACCAAAACCCTCCACCCAGAGCTAAGGATGGTTTTTACTTCTGTAAAACCAGCACTCAGGAAGCTGAGGCAGGAAAGTTGCTGTTAAGTTCGAGGCCAGTCTGGGCTACAGGAGAATCCCACACCCTGCAATGTGCCAAGCATAATAAAATATCTCCCAAACTCTAAATTTTAGCTGGAAAAAGCAACTTTGAATACTCTCTTTTTTTTTTTTTTTGGTTTTTCGAGACAGTTTTGGTGTCTGTCCTGGAACTCACTCTGTAGTCCAGGCTGGCCTCGAACTCACAGAGATCCGCCTGCCTCTGCCTCCCGAGTGCTGGGATTAAAGGCCTGCGCCACCATTGCCGGGTTAACTTTGAATAATTTTAACCACTGGAAAAGACTGCTTTCTAACTTTGGGAAGGTTTTGTTTGTTTGTTTTGTTTTGTTTTTCTTTCAAGACAGGGTTTCACTGTGTAACCCTGGCTGTCCTGGAACTCACTCTGTAGACCAGGCTAGCCTTGAACTCAGAGATGTTCTTGCCTCTGCCTCCCGTGTGCTGGAATTAAAGGTGTGTGCCATTACACCTGGCTTTTTTTTTTTTTTTAGACAGGTCTTGCTATGTTATCTTGAACTCATAGAGATCCGCCTGACTCTGCCTTCTGAGTGTTGGGATTAAAGGTGTGGGCTACCATTCTGGGCCCTGGGGAGCATTTTTTGAACTAATGGCCCTAATTTTTCTTTGTCTTGGAACTCTTAATTTCTTAGTAAGTTTTTAAATTTGCTCTTGTTTTATGTTCACTGGTGGTTTTTTTTGTTGTTGTTTGTTTTTGTTTTTGTTTTTTGAGGCAGGGTTTCTCTGTGTAGTTTTAGTGCCTGTCCTGGTTCTACAGAGTTGCTCTGTAGATCAGACTGGCCTCGAACTCACAGAGATCCACCTGGCTCTGCCTCCGGAGTGCTGGGATTAAAGGCGTGTGCCACCACTGCCTGTCCTCACTGGTGGTTTTTTGTTTTGTTTTTTTTCCACCTGCATGTATGTCTGTGTGAGGTGTCAAGCCCTGGAACAGGAGTTACAGACAGTTGTGAGCTGCCATGTGGGTGCTGGGAATTGAACACTGGTTCTCTGGAAGAGCTGCCAGAGCTCTTAACCTCTGAGCCGGCTCTCCAGCCCCCTTAGTAAGGTTTGTTTGTTTGTTTTTAATTCTGAGATAAGCCTCAGGAAGTCAGAGTCATGGTAAGAAATAGCTCTGAGAGTTCAAAGCCTTGATTTGCAGCTTGGCTGACTGTCAATACTGCTGACATTCCTGTCCTGGCCTTGGTAAATGGTGGGAAGGTGATCCAGCTGAGTCACGCCCAGTGTGGACTGCTAGCTCCCAGAAAGTGGCAGGGTGATGCTGTCACTCCCTTGGTTGGGTCACGTCAGTAAGACCCAGTTTTAGTAGACTGCAAACTGAAGGGAAGCCAGCCACCAGCACTAAAGAGCTGCCGTGCCGTGGAGAGCCATATGTCGGGGGGGCAGAGGGGCTTCTCTCCCAGTGCTGAGGTGCTGTGCCGACAAGTTTTATGTCAACTTGTCACAAGCTAAACACATTTGGGAAGGGGGGATCTTAATTGAGAAAATGCCTCCTTAAGGTGTTCCTGGGTGCTGTTAGAAATCAGGCTGAGGATGCCGTGAGAAAGCCAGGTTCCTTCCCTGACTTCCTTCCCTGATGGACTGTGTTCAGGATGTGTAAGCTAAAATAAACCCTTTTCTTCCCAAGTTGCTTCTTGTTCATGGTGTTCTATTACGGTAATAGAAAACTAAGACATCTGCCAGAAGTGCAAGAGATCTCACACTGGGCCGATGCCTGGGTTGAAGCTTTGGGAGATCCTAAGCCTGGTGACCCAAGAACTATGATATCAATATGATACTGATACAGTTTAAATTTGGAGATACCCAAAGGGGGCTGACAAACTCAGCCACCACCCAGGCCCGGATCCAGGGCTTTGAGTTGTCCCATCTAAGAACTGCTGGAGTGCATGAAGGTGCTGGCCCTGCAGAACCAAAGCTGCAGAATCTCCACA